AATTAATTATACTATTTATTATACTATTGAGTTAACTTTAAACTGCTATTTTATTTCTAATAAATTTTTAAGATTATTAATTCTTAAAATTCGGATTAAGCTAGATAATATACAGGTTAATACTGCAATATTCACTAAGTTTAATTCGAATTTAACTACGATACATTTAAATTTTTTTAAAAAATTAAAAAATTTGATAATTAAAAATTTGATCAAATATTTTCAAATATTTAATTCAAATTCAAAATTTGATTTGATTTTGCGGAGTACTAGTCCTAAAAGCTAATATAATTTAGATCTAAGAATTAGCAAAATATTAGAATCTCGAACTCGGGCAATGACTGAGTCCTAAAAGTTAATAATGTTAAAGTCTAAGTATTAATAATGTTGAGATCTAAAAATTAGCAAAAAATTAGAAACTCAAACTCAGTTAAGAACCGGGTCTTAAGAGCTAATAATATTAAAGCCTAAGAGTTAATAAAGTTGAGACCTAAGAATTAGCAAAAAATTAAGAACTCGAACCAGGTCAAGGACCAGGTTTTAAAAGCTAATAACATTGAAGTCTAAGAGTTAATAACATTAAGGCCTAAGAATTAATAATATTAAGGCCTAAGAATTAGCAAAAAATTAGAAACTCGAATCTGGTCAAGAACTGGGTCTTAAGAGCTAATAATATTAAGGCCTAAGAGTTAATAATATTGAGGCCTAAGAATTAGTAAAAAATTAGAAACTTGAACCCGGTTGCCAACCAGATCTTAAAAGCTAATTATGTTGAGGCCTAAGAATTAGCAAAAAATTAGAAACTCGAACCGGTTACCAACCAGGTCTTAAGAGCTAATAATGTTAAGGCCTAAGAGTTAATAACATTGAGGCCTAAGAATTAGCAAAAAATTAGAAACTCAAACCCAGTCACCAACCGGGTCTTATAAACTAGTCCACCCTCTACTATTACTCATTTCTTTGTCACATAATAAAAAAAAGTGATGTTTTTGCCTTTTTTGCCTACAAAGCAAGCATAAAAAGGCAAAAACATTACTTCTTTAAGTAGTAACTAAGAAAAGCAAAATAGTAAATAGAGAACTTAAGAAGCAAAGATAAAAAATTTTTTATAAAGTACAGTAGATTCTCGCAATAGTCACATGCTAAAATCTGATAATTTAAGTGCTTATTGCGAGATTGTGACTAATACAAGTAAAAATTTATATATAATATATATAATAAAAGCAAAAATTAATGTGATTATAGCAAGATTGTGACTATTGCGAATGTGACTATTGTGAAAATCTACTGTAAAGGAGAAAAAGAAAGAGATGAAATGTGGATGGGAGAGTGGGTGAGTAGATAAGAAAGAGAGTGAGGTGAGGTGAGGAAAAGTGAAAGAGCAATAAATAGAAGAGCGAAGAGAAGAGTAAAGAGAAAGGTGAGAAGTAAGAGAGATGATTTAAACTCTGACGAAGTCAAATGACTTCAGATTTTGCATTCTTGCAAAATTGAAGTTTCAAACTCTGCTAAAATAGAGTTTGAAACTTTGATAAAGCAACAAAATAAAAAAAATAAAAAAATAATAAAATAATAAAAAAAATAAAAAAAATAAAAAAATAAATCAAATTAATAAAAATAAATAAAAAATAAAAAAAATAAAAAAATAAATAAAAATAAATAAAATAAAATAAAGAGATTTAGTTCTAATCACCGGCAGTAATCATCACCAGTTCTAAGATTTGTTAGGGTTAGGGTTAGAAATTAGAGAATTATTATTTTTTTATATAATATAATATAGAGCTAATATAAAGTCCCAATTTTAGTTTTTGTAAGGTTTTCAGGGATCCTGAACATTTTTACTTAAAGTATCTGATCTAGCTTACTTAGTACATTTTTGAGATATAAGCACCCCAGTAATGATCACTACCGGTTATAGTTACTAAAATACTAAAATAAAATAAAATAAAATAAATTAATTTTTAAAAAAATATTAAGAAACTAAAAAATTAAAAATTAAAAACTTGAATCCAGTTCTAAGAGTTAATATAATTTAAGCCTAAGAGCTAATATTATTAAAATTTAAGAATTAACAAAAAATTAAAAATTTAAACTCAGACAATGACTAGGTTCTAAGAGTTAATATAATATAAGCCTAAGAGGTTTACCACAAAATCTCGAAAACCATTTTCCCAAAAGAATATAATACTAACTAAATTGGCCAGTATTATAACTAATGCCGGCTAACTTTGTCAATATTGGGTCCTTTTGGAAATCTGTCTTTTAGGATTTTGTGATAAAACCAAGCTTAAGAGCTAATATTGTTAAGATCTAAGAATTTAGAAACTTAAATCCAGTAATAACCAGGTTCTACAAGTTAATATAATTTAAATTTAAAATTTAAAAGCTAATATTGTTAAGGCTTAAGAATTAGTAAAAATTAGAAACTCAAACTCAAACAATGACCAGGTCTTAAGAGCTAATATTGTTGAAATAGCAAAAATTAGAAACATGAACCCAGACAACCACTAGATCTTAAGAGCTAATATAATTTAAGCCTGAGAGCTAATATCATTAAGATTTAAAAATTAGCAAAAAATTAAAAATTCAAATCTGGGCAACAACCGGGTCCTAAGAGCTAATAATATTGAGGTATAAGAATTAGTAAAAAATTAAAAACTTGAACTTGGTCAATGACTAGGTTCTAAGAGTTAATATAATTTAAAAGCTAATTTTATTAAGGCTTAAAAATTAGTAAAAAATTAGAACTGAAATTAGGCAATAACCAGATCATAAGAGCTAATAATGTTAAAGCCTAAAAGTTAATAACATTAAGGTTTAAGAATTAGCAAAAAATTAGAAACTTGAACTTAGACAACAACCAGGTCTTAAAATCTAATAATGTTAAAGCCTAAGAATTAGAAACACAAACTCAGACAATGACTAGGTCCTAAGATCTAATAATATTAAGGCCTAAGAATTAATAATATTGAGGCCTAAGAGTTAGTAAAAAATTAGAAACTCGAACCTGGGCAATGACCAAGTCTTAAGAGCTAATACTATAACGTTGATATCTAAGAATTAGCAGAACATTAGAAACTTGAACTTTAGCAACAACCAGGTCCTTAAGAGCTAATAATATTAAGGTCTAAGAATTAATAACACTGAGATCTAAGAATTAGCAAAAAATTAGAAACTTGAACCAGGTTAAAAACCAGGTCTTAAGAGCTAATAACGTTAAGGCTTAAGAGTTAGCAAAACATTAGAAACACAAACCCAGACAATGACCGGGTTCTAAGATCTAATAATATTAAGGCCTAAGAATTAATAATGTTGAGGCCTAAGAATTAACAAAAAATTAGAAACTCAAACCCGGTCAAGGACCGGGTCTTAAGAGCTAGTTAGCTATTATAACAAAAAAATCTGTATTTATAGCTTAAATCTTTTATTTAAAATTAATACCCGATACGTATTACTATAGATTAATTGTCCGAAGGACATTACGGGAGTCATAGTGACCTGGTTGTGTGTGTGTCCGCAAATTAAGGGGTTTGATTGGTTGATTGATAAAAACAAACATTTGCTCCGAAAATACCCATTGTCGGACTGATCCGTGATAAGTCCTTCGGACCTTAAATGGTTTCCATTTACCTAGTAATTTACACAGGTATAATGATGAAAAATCATATCTGATTACTACCGATTACTTCCCGATGTGGGCTTAAAATTATATACCCGATTAACTATCATTCGACCTGTTTTCTTTGTATAGTACAAATCTAAATAATAAAAGGAAACGCATACATCAAATATAATTTTGATTAATTTGGACCAGTCTTAACAAAATAAACTCGGTTATTCCAAAATTGTAAATTACCGCAAAATTATATCATTATGCAAAATTATTATGGCTAGTACGGCGTTGAAATCGAATATTTCCTAAATTATTGTCATCAATAAAGTGTTATTGAAGTTGATAATTTAAGAAATATTCGCTATTTTATTATACATTATTATTATTATTATTATTCTAGAAAGTGGTCGTAATAATGTGTAACGCAGATTATCAATCTTTATCCTTGTGGCACCTGATTCCCTTATTTTACGTAGCAGTAGTAGATCATGGCTGAAATTACATATGAACATACGTAATAACGATAACAATAAGATAAATATGTAATTTAAATTACCATAACAAGTATTCTAAAGGATTTTCGGTATAGAATGCCGTTATATAGCAGTATGAAATTTTCGCACTTCTGATCTAAACTTGATCTTACTCTAAAATAAAGATGTCTGTTGGTACTGTAATCTCTCAACCAATTTCTGATTTAACAATTATTAAAGGAGACCCTGTCACCATTGGCGACAATGATAATCCTGTACCAGTATTGGTTGTTGAATTTTGGGCTACTTGGTGCCCTCCTTATAGAGCTTCGTAAGTATTATAACTATAGATGCTGGTGAAACTAACGATTTGGCAATTATTGATATAGTTGATATTGAATTGGTGAATTGATGATATTAATTTTACCAGCATCTCTATAATCACAAATAACGAGTTATTTGTTTAGTTTTTTTTTTTTTGGAAATTATTGTCTGAATTAAGTTATATATGCTTTGTGAAAAATGTTTATAATTCTTATTTAAAAAATCTCCATTACTTTTTAACTTGATCTATCCAACTATAATTACCAAGAATTCCGCATTTGACTGAAATCCAGCAAAAATTTAAAAATGCTACGATTCTAGGTGTTACATACGAGAAAGATGTAGATGTTCGTATGATATTTTGTTACCGTTATAATTTTGTAATTTTGCTTTATCATTATTACGAAAATGCCAAAAAATTTTTCATATCAGAAAATAAAAACCTTTGTGCAAGGTATGGGTGATCAAATGGATTATACTGTGGCTGTTGATACTAACGAAACTGCTAAAAGTGGTAGGTGGTCATTTTTTATAGTTTAACCTCTCTAAATGTATTCTCAGGATTATACAGTATAACAAAATACGCCTTTAAAGAGGATATATATTTATAAAGAAATTTTATAAATCATATATACCTGAGACTAAACCTGTGTATGCGCTCAGGAATTCAGGGGTCATTTATGCATTCCATGCTTTTATAAAGGGTGGTTTAAAGAGGTTAACCTGTTTTATATCTTGATTAAATCATCCACTAACTTATTAAAAAAAATGAAAGCCATTTTCCAACCAAGTGGTGCTCGTGGAATTCCAACGGCCTTTATCTTGGTTAAAAATAAAATAGTTTGGCAAGGGCATCCAATGGCTGAAGAGTTTGAAGCTGAATTGCAAAAAGCTGTTTCTCAAGGAGAGCTCAACGGCTGAAAATTTCTATTGTCGGGTGGTGTGGAGAAACAAGATTTTGCAAAGTATGGTTTATTTTTTTATGAAGCTCTATGTTTTAAATATGGGCCGCCGTTAATAGAAATAAGGCAGATTGACATTTAAAAAAAAAATCAATACCTTAACTTTCACAGCTCATATCTCTATTGATTTTGAGGTTATCTTAATTATTTAATAGTAAAAAAAAAAAAGCTCACGATCTAAGCTTTCTTTTGAATGTTAAATCATCAAGATAGCTTCAAAGTTCATTGTTATGAGCTGTAAAGTTAAGGTATTGCTTTATTCTATTGACGGCATCCCATATACAATACAATATTTATTGATGTCTCTTATAAAATTGTCTGATATATATTTATTTTTTATAGATTTGATCTTCGAAAAATTGAATATTTTATCATTTTATTTATTATGAAAAATTTTTTTTTGATTATCTGTCCGCATATATATATATATTTGTTAAACACGAATTAAACCATTTTTAAAGATAACAACAAATATATTTTATTATTATTATTATTGTCAACAATTTAATTACAGTTATGACGAAATTCTGAACTGATACTATATCAGACAAATATTTAATTGCTAAAGTGGCCAAATTAATAATAACATATATATTAAGATCTTGATATATATTCGGGGCTTGTACTTATGGAGAAATAATTTACAAATATTTGTGCTCGAGAAGGGAAACCTGTAAGTAAAAGTTTATCCCCCGAAGAAGCGATGTTACGTAATTAATCACATATCAGATATACGATCATTATTTCGGTAATATATCATATCAGTACGATTAATTACAATTCTCGGTGGATAAGTTTTCACTTAAAGATTTTCCCTCTCGAGTTACATAATTACATTAATCTGCACATATAGAAAGTATCGCTATGCGATAAAAATTTGTAAATAAGATATCGATTAAAAATTAAAAATGCGATTTAATGAAGTTTACTAAGCATAAAAAATTTAAAAGTGTATCAGAGTAATTTATATCAGATATTGAAATAGAAAATTTCTTAATTTACACCAGGTGTATATACACACATACTAATTTTTGATTTACGAATTTGTTTAACATATAA